CACCTTCCTTACTACGACGACTCTTTCCCTTTTCGAACCCGACCCGGATTCGATTCCCACCGTTTACGATCTCCTCCCCAAGTACGGCCTCCCAAGCGGTCTCTTACCGGACTCCGTCACCGATTTCACCCTCTCCGACGATGGCCGATTCGTCGTTCACTTGGCCAAGTCCTGCGACATTGAATTTGACTACCTCGTTCACTACGACGATACCATATCCGGTCGGATCAGTTACGGGTCAATCACCGACCTCAAGGGTATTCAGGTGAAAAAACTCTTTATTTGGTTCGATGTCGATGAAATCAAGGTCGATCTCCCACCTACCGATTCCATCTACTTTAAGGTTGGGTTTATCAATAAGAAGCTCGATATTGACCAGTTCAAGACTATACATTCATGCGGCGACAAAGGTGCCTCTGGCTCTTGTGGAGATTCATGGAAGAGTTTTCCCCAGGTATTTTGATTTTCTTGAAACCTAAATAAGATCTTGCGTTTCTGGGTTTTGGAATTTGAACCTCAAAGTTGCGAATTTTCCTGGTTTGCTATGAATGAAGTTCTTTCTGGGTTTTAGGGTCCTAAAGGAAAAGGATTTTGTCTGAGATACTGATCGCTTCTCGAGTCTCTGAGTTTTACTGACCATGAATTGAAAAGCTTTGTTGGATTTGTAGATTGTTTCCTCATGTCTATAGACCTGTAAGTTACACATTCATTGAGGAACAACATTGCAGGTTTCCTGGAATTCAACCACAAAGGCTAAAAGTAATGCCTTTGATGAATCAGACTAAACTTGATAAGGGGTTTGAAAATGTGTTTTTTCAGATTAGAAAGAAGAAGAAACAGTATTTTATAGTTTCACATTTGCGTTTTTTCCGTGTAGAAATACATCGTCGAAACTAAAAGTAGCAGTTTTTTTCATATCTTTTGTTCGTAGTGATAGCTTAAATGGGTAGCTGATGAAACGGGAAATGCTGCTTGATTATGATACTATAGCAGGTCATTCTGCATTTCTTGCAATAGCTAAAAGGCTATTTACATGCCCCGAGCAAAAGTTATCTTCTATGGTTTTGATCTGGTTTCTGTAATGGTTATTGCGTTAGATCCTTTCAAACCATCCAACTCTCCAAGTGATTCAGGCACTTACACAAATTTTGATAGGAAATGGGTTGTTACCTGCACACTGACACGAGTTTTTGTTTCTCTGAAAGGGCAGCTTCGAGGAATGATGGATGAAGCGGAGATACTCATAACCGAATAAAAATACATTCTCCAATAACCGATTCTGCGATAACACACAGATGGAGTTGAGAGTGTCAAGTCAAGTTTGTACAAATACGTACAATCCTTAGACAAGTGTATGTTAAAATGTCAAACATTTCCCCTATGTAAGTCTTTGTTAAAAACTCGGTTCCACGAAAATGTTGTATATACATGACTGAAATATCCCTGAGTTCGTTCCTCACCACGACAGTAGACTCAAGTTTGAACATCTTCTATTGCTTAACGAGTGATAGGTGCATTCTATGAGCTTGTTGATACGACTGAGAAGTTGATCTGTTTGACTCTTGACAGATTACACTTCAGAAAACGTATTTTTCAAGCCGAAATTCGGAAACATGTGAAATGAATCAAATGACGGATACTTTTGCCTAAATTAGTTGCAATTTTCCCATGTTTTAAAGTCAGAAGAAGACAAGAAACAGAGCTAATTCAACGGAGTGTCCACGTAAACCCACCCGGTGCTTTAACTAGTTTGTCTTTGCCTTTGCTTGCTTTTAAGAAAATAAAAGAAAAAATATCAAACCTCTCTGAGTTTTGACTGGCTACGATTCAACGGCCATTTTCCATCTTACAGACCCAATTCGTGTTCTCTGTTTTGTAATACAACAAAAACAAAAAAAAGTTTTATCTTTCTTTCCTTTTGCTCTGATTATTACCATCCATTTGCTATAATATCCCACCAAACCGTTCCTTGATCTTTCCTCAGTGGGCCTCCTGGGATTGTTCATCGAGCAACTTGATCTGGGTTTTGCTTGGAGTAATGGTGGGTGCTTGGTTTGTTGTTGGCTCATCGGTGTTGGACTCACCCAACAGCCCATGTCTATGTCTGGAGGGTAACATGAGAAGCTCACCGAAGAAGAAGAAGACGATCCTTGGCAGTTCAAGGAATCTGGAATTAGGAAGCTCTTTTATTGATTCAAGCATTGTTTTTAGGCTTTCTTCGAAAAGCGTATCAGGAATTGCGAATCGAAGAAGCAAAAAGAAGCTTTTGATTGTGAATGAGGACATTGCTGGGAATTACGACGATACCTTCGGTGATGTCAAAACGGTGAGTATTAAAGATTTGATTTTTTTTTTGTTTCTTAAAGGATTTAGACTCATTTCTTTTTACAATTGTTGCAGCAAATTGTTAATTATTTCACATACAAAGCTGTGAGGACGGTTCTTCATCAGCTCTATGAAATGAATCCTCCCCAATACACTTGGTTTTATAAGTAAGTTTTTCTTATTGGTCTCTGTTTCTGTAATTTTAATGTCCTTACATATATATGGTTTTATCAAAATCTGTCATTTAGGATTATAGTAACAACTAACAAAAATGACTTACTTGACCTGGTCTTATGTTTCTCCTTTGTTTCACTACAGTCACGTCGTATCAAACAGACCAACCGAAGGCAAACGTTTCCTCCGCAAACTCGGCAAGGTAAAAACAGTTTAATTTATAATCTCACAAGAACCAGCATCATCTGGATAAAGCCAAGACGCATTTGAGTCTAGTTGATGAAGTTGAGCAGCTCAAACTTTAGCTATAGGTCTACTATAATTAGCCTAGGACTGAATGTTAAAAGATTGTAGCTGTTGTGAATTGGTTAGAGAGCATTTATTTAGTGAGGGCTAGATTTTATATAGACTTGCCTCGACTGATTGGGAGTTCTCGCTGGTTTTGTTCATTGGAATAAGATTGAGCAGTTTCATAGCTCTGTTCTTATCATTATAGCACTCTGTGTTTGATCTTTCATATATCAACATGGCGAGAGAAAGAAGAGTACTTTTTTTGTTTCATCTCAGAGCATAAACACAAACACTGAATCTTTGTTTTCTTTGTATCTCGTCTCAACTACCTGTAGGAGAGTCAGGAGCTTGCAGAAAGAGTGATGATCACGCGTCTCCACTTGTATGGCAAATGGATCAAGGTAAAATCACCCGCTAAATCTCAGCTCTAGTAAAAAAAGACCTCAAAGTTAATGTTGGATTGTATGTTGCTTGTAGAAATGCGACCACGGAAAGATATACCAAGAAATCTCGGATGAGAACTTGGCGTTGATGCGTGAACGCCTGATGGAGACCGTGATATGGCCTTCCGATGACTCAAACTCGGAGGTAATTGGCTGAAGAATGCTGTCGTCAGTTGTCACAACACAGCATTTGCTTTGTCAATATGCTTTCTCAGTTTTTAGGACTCTTTGAGTTTTTAGTTTGATTTACATGTAATAGTGAAAGAGCAATGTGTGTATATGTGTCTATACTTGGCATCTACTACATGATTATTATATATGGGGGAAAAAACAAGCAAGACCCTTTTGTGCTCGGAAAACTTTCTCAATCATCTCTCACGCTCACACCTCTCACATTACCATTGATTGATATGAATTTTCTGCGTTTGATCTCTCATGCAAAAGTAGTTTGTTTAGAGGATAAATTGCGGTTGGTCCAAATCCGAACACTTGGCCTCGTACCAACTCCAAAACGTTTTTGAGCAAAGATCACTTATTATTAGTACTGTCCCTCACTCAACACCAAAAATTCATGGCGAAAACTATCATTTTTGCAGCTCTACCCCTCACCAACTTCGAAACACCATCGCTGTTATTCCATAGGAGAATCCGTGTCAAGAACACTTGGATTATTAGTTTCAACAAAACCCATTTTCTCCGACAAACGATTTCGACTGCAAGGAGAATTGGGTCCGTCTCGTGTTCTTCTGTCACGGACGAAGCTTCTTGTTCCAAAGATCGACTGGTCGGAGAAGATGGTTATCCTGAAGAGCTACAAGTTCGAACCTTGTAAAATTCCATCTTCCTGTTTTCTTGTGTAATTTGACTGATCTTTCTCGGTTTCTGATCAAATAAATCCATAGATTAAAAGAAATGTGGTTGCTTTTTGGTGTTTGCAGGACATGGAACTGGAAAGGTTATTCGATAAGATATCAGTGTGCTGGAACCAGTGGTCCTGCTTTGGTCTTGGTTCATGGTTTCGGTGCTAACAGGTCATTACCATATTAGCTTCTCATTACCTCCTAAATTTGCTAATAGGTATCAATAACTTACTCAAAGCATGCTCTTAGTTGAGGTTTTGAGTTCTTAATGAGGGAATTGAGAACAGTAACATGCTCTTAATTGAGGTTTTGTTTTGTTAATCAGTGATCATTGGAGGAAGAACACACCTGTTCTTGGGAAATCACATAGGGTGTATTCAATCGATCTTATTGGATATGGATACTCCGATAAACCGAACCCTCGTGAGTTTGGAGGAGAACCATTCTACACATTTGAGACATGGGGTGAGCAGCTCAATGATTTCTGTCTGGAAGTGGTCAAAGATGAAGCCTTTTTTATATGCAACTCTATAGGAGGTTAGCTTTCGAGTTGCAATGCGTCTCGGGTTTTAAGTTTTTTTGCCCCTTGGTTCAGTAATGACGAGAGAGATTGGTGTTCATTAGGAATTGTTGGTCTTCAGGCAGCAGTTAGTAAGCCAGAGATATGCAGAGGTCTTATGCTTATAAACATATCACTCCGTATGCTTCATATCAAGAAACAACCATTGATTGGGAGACCTTTCATCAGATCATTTCAGAATTTACTTAGGTAATGAATGCTTGAATTGTTATCATGTCAGTCTAACTCTATGGTGTTGCAACTGAGTATTATCTTGTCGATTTCAGGAATACTCCGGTTGGAAAACTATTTTTCAAGACCATTGCTACACCAAAGACCGTAAAAAGCATTCTTTGCCAGGTATTGATACTCCAAGTCGGGTTAACGCTTATAGGTTGCATATATATATCTTGTTGTGAGCTTAAGGAGATTTTGTTTGCTTTTTTTTTTGCAATTAGTGTTACCATGATAGCTCGCAAGTGACGGATGAACTAGTTGAGGCGATTCTACGTCCAGGGCTTGAGCCTGGTGCGGTTGATGTGTTCCTCGAATTCATCTGTTACTCTGGTGGACCGCTTCCAGAGGATTTACTACCACAGGTCAAGGTTAGTTACTCTGGTCTTCTCCTTAACCATAGTCAAAACTAAACATTAGTCTAAGTTCTCTAATTGTTGCAGTGTCCGGTTCTAATTGCATGGGGAGAGAAAGATCCATGGGAGCCAATCGAGCTTGGAAGAGAATATAGCAAATTTGATGCAGTTGAAGATTTTGTTGTCCTTCCTGAAGCCGGCCACTGTCCTCAGGTCTCTCTCTACCTCCCTCTGAAGGTTGAATTACAATAAGTAACCTTTTCTTGTTCTTCTTAATAATAATGTTTCTGTAAAATTGGAAGGACGAGAAGCCGGAGATAGTGAACCCACTTATTGAATCATTCGTTGCGAGACATTGAAAGTCCAATACAACCATCACAGAAGACATTTGATCGCAGTTTCTTCATTTTTGTATATCTGTACAGAAATATATTTGTGAACCTGAACACTCAGAACACTCACAGGTGAGATTTC